GATATTTCAGTTGATGCTTGAATACTTTTCAGAATGATTCAAATTTTGTAGACAAATTAAAAGAATAGTTTAAGAATTTCAGGAGAATGTTTAAGGTAATTTTTTTTATATATATAAATCTTGCTACAGTGTAATCTTTTTATTTCACAGAATTGTACACACAACTAAAGCATTACACACATGACCTTTTGACCCTTAAACAGCCAATCAAATGTGTTTTAACAGTGTCCACATAAAGGAATATTTGAATGTGCCATTAAAGTTTAAATGCTGGTTTTTAATCGTCTTGATCATGTCTTGATTTACATCCGTTTAAGATATATTTCTGGTTTACATCCCTCTTAAATTTGTTTACGATTTATATCATTTTATCATATTTCCTTGATTACGTCCCCTTAATCATATCTGGATTACATCCCTTCATATTTATGATATTCAAATATAACACTATATTTGTGTACATATTATAACAAAAAGAAATATGTTTGTTGTAATTTGGATGACTTTTTTACCCTCATGTATATATAACCAGAGAAAAAATAACAACATTCCAGATGATTCTTTGAGGTGATCAGCCCCTTTATTAAGACGAACACAAGAAGAGATGGTGAGTTATTTGTGAAATCTATTTTACTGCCACACAGAAATGCAACTGTATATTACTGGGAAAAATTTCGTGAAAAATTATCAAGAATGCTTAGGAAATAGTTATGCAATAAATTAATGTGATCTCTAATATTTGTCCGCAATAGATTACCTCCCTTTGAACTTGCTTCCAGTATACTGTTGTTTAGCCTGGTTCGTCAATTAAAAATATACCGATCAAGTATGTCTAGGTATATTGTATTAGAGAGAATGCACTAAAATCATTAAAGGAATTTTATTTCCTAAGTGCTTTTTTGTCATTGTTTATACATATAGATTAAACATTACACGTGTGCACTTTCTGTAAGAGATTTTAATACATCAATACATTATTATCAACAAAACATTTACATTGACAGTGTCACTGATAAAAATCTTGAAATCTGTGTATCTTGTGTATGACTGACTTTTTTGCCGATATATTAAGTATAGCTGTGAACTTGACAGACCTTCACATCAGGCATAGCTTTAACCTTTTTTTACTTCTTCATGTGATAATATGTGACATTGGCATTAATTATTCATGAAACAGAGCTGTGACTTTGACATTAATGTCTTCATTAGTATAACATAGCTGTGACCTTGACATTGTTGTCTCTATATGGTGAAACTCTTACTTTGATATCGCTGACTTCATGCAATAAAACTAGAATCTTAACATTGATTGTTGTCCTTATTAGGTGGATCTGTGACCTTGACATTGCTCCTTCGTTAAGAAAAACTGTGACCTTGACTTTACTGTCTTTATTTTGTAAAGCTGTGGTCTGATATTCACTTCTTTATATGTACAGCTGTGACCTTGACATAACTATTATCATGTAATGCTTACATGACATTGGTAATTCAGTAGGTAAAACCATGACCTTGACATTGGCTTCATTCTTTAAACTATTTTTTCTCAATAACCAATGAACCAAATGTTCATGTGATTTTTGTCTGGTATGTTCCTAGGATGATGCCCAACAAAGTTTGCCGAAAGAAATTAACTCGACCTATATCAAAGGTCACAGGGGTCAGATTTGTTAAACCCTTCAACCACTACTTATGCATTGAGGGGCCTGGATGCAGGACATCTGGCTGGTATGTTTCTATGATGAAGCCCGACAAATATGCAAAAATAAATAACCTTCATCTATGTTCAAGGTCACTGGGGTCAATTTTGTGAAAACTTTCATACAACTTCTTCTCATGAACTACAAGGCCTAGATGCATAATGTTTGGCTTGTATGTTCCGAGGATGAAGCCCTTCAAAGTTTCGAAAAGAAATAACTAACTTTAACCATGGCAAAATTTTCCTGTAAACAATAATGAAGTTTGGCAACTATAACTATTTCTGGCAATATGCTGATGCTTCATTCTAATCAATAAAAACACAACAGAATTATGAAATTTATTATTTTATTTTTTTGTTCATTTCAATAATAATATGTTGTATTTACACCAACTTAATGTTAAAATCTTTTGTACAGTTTTTTTTATTATTTAAATTGACTCGAAATAGTATACAGAAAAATATCCTCACATAATGGATCTGATGTACAATATATAAATGCATAGAAGGCACATAGCCAGACATACAGTCATCATGTCTCAACTCTCAGAGCCCTCTGCCATCACGATTCTTTATATACATATAAATATCACTTTGTGTAGGGGTTCTCACTGTTTCTATATGCCTTAGATACTGCAAAATCACTTTTTTGTGAGGGAAAATATTTTTGAGTCAACTTACAATACCATATAACATGAACTTAACCATGAGAGTAATTTTTCCTAGTTTTATTATTAGCTATTACAGCTATCAAAATCGGTAAAACTACTTGTACTATATTCAGAATAATTATATTGTAACCTTAATCTTAAAAAATAAATACTTTTCTAGATTTATGTTGTACAGCAAGTTATAACTGACTTCAGAACAGTCATGTATCACAAATAAAAATACCTAGACATATGCAAAAAATATTTTTCTATTTGTTATCATCGATAATTCAATTAATTTCCTCTTATAACTAACATTTTCTTAGTTTTTCATCAAATATTTCATACCATTTCAAAACCTAAAATTTTTGTGCACATATTGTAATATTAATATTGATTTTTTTCTTAAATGATATTTTATTTTGAAATCACAGGACAAAAAATAGTTTAACCATTGAAAACTACAGATTATCATTTTTTTTTAAACAAATGTGCAAGAAAACATGATCTGATATGACTTTTGTGATCATATTACTTAGACACTAGCATGGGTTGCTTTCAACATCAAATTTTATCAAGTAGTATCACTTTTAAAAAACCGGTAACACTTGAGACTTAGGTAAGAAATCAATCAACATTTGATTTGAGATATGGTAAAAAGTTGACCAACCTCTTAAACAGCACTTTTTTGATTTAAAAAACTATGTCAGAATTTTGTACAAATCATTTGATTAAATTAGAGAAACAAGCAATAAGGAACAATAACAGAACTCTTATAGAAAAATAACAAAAATTGTATCCCTTAATCATTGACCTAAATTTCAGTACAAAGGCACCGCAAGGGGAGATAATCCCATTACTGAGGACAATTTTTAAAATACGAAAATACATCCAACTCAAAATTCAAATAAATTACAATTTTCGTATAAAAAAAAACAAAAAAATAATAATAACCTGCAATATGACTGCATTTATTATTTTACTTGAAAAATGTTATTCTTCAAAACTCACAATTATGATCAAATCCGACAAATGGACACTGGTTTGGCATTAAAAGATAACACCATGTACCACAATATCTTTGTAATATTAAAAATTTCAATTTTTATGCTTCAAACATATAAAAACATCTCTAAAAATGCCTACTTTTAATATCTATGAGTTAACAAGATGTCTAAATCATTTCTTATGAAAGCTTCAATACATCTTAAAAAATTGAAATATATTTTCATTTCTTGAAATCTGCTCTAATATTCAAAGTTAAAACAAACTAACCATGAAAAAGGAATGAACAACAAAAAATTGAAAAACTAACATGATAGAAAAAAACATAGCACAAGATCCTTAAAACCAACTTTTCTGAACACAATGGTATTATAATTATCATTAACTGAACAAACTGAAAAATACAAGACTTTAAAAAATGAGAACACATCCTATATGGATGTCATGAACCAAAAAGTTCCTATTCCTTTAAATTTACACCATACAAGAGTTATCTGCTCTTGCCAGGTGTTTGAACACATAAACAAATTTTCTACCTTTCGTTTGGAAAAACCACACAGGTGTTTGTATGAATGCCTTGTTATTTCTAAATATATCAATAATATCTACATATCAACATGATTAACTATATTATGGGCAGTATCTGTAGTTTGCTACAATATTTAGGTGGAAAAATGGAAAAAGCATTATATCTTATATTTTTGCAAGTCAATTTATGACCTGTTGTTACTGTGATCTAATCACCGACTTTATTCAGGCACTGAACTGTAATTCTAGATTTGTTATCACATACTTACGTATCTCGAAATTATCATATTTCTACCAACACTTTTTTCACAGGGTCTTTATATTTATAATATATTCTGACTGCTGTTATTAACACTTTGAGAACTGTTAAACCCACTAATAAACACCTTGCATACTCCAGGAGAATTTTTGCCTTTGAGATCTTTAGAATCTAGTGAAACTTAAATGAGTAAAAGAACACTTTTATTTTTCTTGCTAGCAAGATTTGGCTGTAAATCTTTTCAAAAAAAAAAGTATATGTACATAATATTTGAAAAAAAAAATGAAATTAATGCAGAATTTTGGATAACTAGAAAAAACTGTGATTTCATCTTAAATAAAAAACTATGATGGTGATTTGGCAATGGATTTGTTTTTTGATTTTATTTGGTAGGATATCACTTAACATACAATACAAATTACCTGATATCAAAAATGGGACAACAATGATGCAATGAGGACACAACAACTTCCATGACCATCTCTTCAAGATGCACCCATTTAATTCATGTATTTAAAACTTCTTTTAAATTTTGTAAGGAAAACTGCACATACTCACTCCAAAATTTTGAAAAGTAACAAAGATAGTTACAATTAATAACTTTCTTACTTCATAATTTAAAATCAATTCTCAAATCCATTTTTTTCTCAGATTATGTTCTAAATTATGAAATTTTGATTTTCTTACATTATTATAATTAGGATGTATCTCGAAAAGTCACCTACATTTGTGAAATTGAAGTTCAAAATGCATGAAAAGGTCAAATGTCACAAAGTGGAAAGGGTAGATAAGCAAGGCACGATACATATATTGCAACATAAATGTTTTTAACAAATAAAAGGCAGATTTTTAAGATATCCAATCTTTCAGTTTTTACTGAAAAGCATGTGAACAATAGTATTAAAATATTGAAAATATGACTTTAATATATATAAATTTAAACATTTTATGTAACAAATGTAACATTATGTAATTTGTACACATATCTGAAATAGCTGCAGTGATGCATTAAGGGAGAGCCTAGTGAGGCTCCCCAAGGGATAAATCACATTTAATTCACCTTGATAACAATACAAAGTACAACAAAGTTTCTGTACTTGACAGTGAAGGAAACATCTGCTTCTAAACTGACCAATTACTTCAAAACGTAACAACTAGGACAAATATTATTAAATAATTTTGTTTCATTTTTAAGAAACAAATATATCAAGAAGGACTGCCCTCCTTGTTATTAGTGAGATCTCTAGGACAAATTGATGCCAATTCTTTCTCCATTCTGTACCTTCACTTTCATCCATTCCCAAGCTTTTACTGTTCATTACAAAACTGTAAATTTTTTTCCAACTTCTCCATACACCTATGGATTATGCATAACCAAAGCTTTCAAGATAATATGTCCAGACTTGTTCATGTTCTAAAACAGACCATTCAAATTGGAATCCAGTTTTTTAATCTTTCTCTGTCAGTCCTGCAGGCTGATCTGCTCTACAATGTCTTTGCTTTTCCTGCTCATTTTCTATGAAGATTTGATCCATCCAGGTACAATTTCAAACTCATCTCCATTTACATTTTCAAAGGAAGGATTAACTCCCCTTCTTCAGAGCTCTTTCATTTGTCAATCAAAGGAACAAACAGGTCTGACGCAAGCAGGTCATTGAGCTGACCAATCACAGAAAGGCTTGTAAACTGCCTTAGCTTCTGACCTTTGACCTTGGTCACAAGACAGGTCTCTGATAAAGCAGTAGACCATTTTGGTAACAATTTTAATTCAAAGCCTCTTGATAACTTTGACTAGCTCACTCATCATCCTTGTCTGCCTGAGGCTTGATATCACAGGCTTCGAACAGTTCCTCTGGGGTATAACCAAGAAGACTCTGCAGATCACAAACAAATCGGTACACATAGCGTTTGCCAGCTGTCTTGTGGATGATGTGTTTGTCGTAGTAATACCTCAACCCTCGACTCAGCTTCTCATAGTTCATTTTCGGCTTGTTTTTACGAATGCCCCATCTTCTAGCGACCTCATCAGGGTCGGAAAGTTTGAATTCCCATCCATCTCCTGTCCAGCTTATGAAATGTTCACAGGTCTTGTCTGTGAGTAACTCCAGTAGAAACTGCCAAAGCTGTATAGGACCACTTCCTGTAAAACAAAATGAACATTCAATGTAGGCAATAAGTATGCTTAAATTTTCTAAATAGCATGGAGGCTTCATCCATAAAGAAACGTTTCAAAATGAGATTAGCTCTACATGTGATATAAACCACAATATAGATCCCCTAATCATGTTTTCATTGCTCATGTTTATAAAAAACAGCAATAGTTTCCCAGCAATCATATTTCAACTATGAGAGTTATCTACCTTAACACAGTAGTAGAGATTATCTACCCTTAGTTTACGTAATAACAGTTATCCTTTGTTGACATGGTATGATTTAATTACCTTGAACTATATACAAGTAATTATCTCCCCTTATATTCAGTCAGAGTTGTCTACCCATTATCATCACTGACACTTACCAGAATATCCAGCAAGGGCTGCTGCCTGAATCATGGGTTTTCCATCGCAGTAGACATTGGTCGGCGATGACTGAAGTGACCGGTACCCACTGGACAGACTTGACCGAAGGTCAGCAGACTGCCAGCTTTCATTGCAGTCTTGACCAGCACAATCCTGTGGTGACCAAGGACATTCTTGTTTGATGCTTGGCACCGTGTGGAACGTCTGTTGGTCGTAATAATTGTCGTGAGGGAGACTGTCTTGTCGCATGTACTGATCTGTGAATCAACAACAAATATTGAGTTAGATAAACACAAACAAACAAGCAGTTAAAATTCTGACCCGTTAACAACATCTTTTTAAAATACATTAATCAAAAGAAATGGTCGAAAAAGCTGATACAAAGTTGAATGTCTTGCTATAATGAGAAAGTATCAAATGAACCTGAATAATTCTGTCATTTGGAATATGATCACTTGTTAATTACTATTGCTTTCATAACAAATTCAATTTTAACAAATTAATATGAAAAAAACATTGATAAAAGCCTAAATCATTTTTTTCTCCTTTCCTTCGTCATATTTATATTTCAAATTGTCTTGTGAAGTTTTATAATAAGATTTTATAAATAATGATTAACTCCCAGACAATCTGAATCTAAATTAAGTTAAGAAATTTTTTTTTTTATTTTTAAATCTCCAAAATCTTGCGGCTAGTGATGTCAGTGTCAGTAATCAACAGTAGACAGATGGATTATACAGCAGCCCAAACCTTCCCTAAATCCTAGGATCATCTTCTGCCTCTAAATCCTTTCCAAGGACTTAATGGGGTTCCCCAAAGGGAAATCACAACAAAAATATTAATCTGCTGATTGTTGCCACAAATAGATATTAAATTCAAATGTTAAAAATTCGCAAATTTATGTGCTAAAAGGTTGCAGATTATAATAATAATTAAGTACTATAATAATAAATTAAACTATCATGAGTTTAAAGACCTTTCAAAGATTATTTTTTTCAATCCCCACAGTGAACCTCATGATAACTTACAGATGCAGGTTTTTACAAATTGTTTTGATCATTAACAAACTCCACACCAACTGACTGGGGTTGGAGGGGGTATAAACACTGTACTGATGTCTGTGGCCTGGTTCCCCTCCTCCCCACATCAAACATCACACACATGACTTTGCACTAAACCAAGTAGATGGTAGGTTCCCCTCTGGTTTTGAGTACCATGCATTATGGACTGTAGGCATACATTATGGATCTTTTCTTATAATCTGTTTCTAACCAACCCCACAAAAATCAATGATTGTTCTAGAAACAAATAATATCTAAACATATTTTTTCAACTTTATCTTTTCATAAATTCTGAGACGAGAATTTATTCAGCTTTAAAAAAACTTAATTATCAATGAATTGATGATAATGCTGAATATTAATGATACTACATATTCACCTTGCAATGTGTATTATCAATCTTTTAAATACTTCAGAATAATATTCAAACATGACATTTAGATTTAAAATATTTTAGAGAATTTAAAAAACCTCTGAGCTTGATTTTTGAACCAGTGTATGTACATGGATGTTACAGAAATAAGATGGTTGTGTCAATATATAACTATTCTATCTTTGTTGTTTTAATCATTTTTTATGTTTGTCTATAAATTTTCAAAAATCTCAACTGCAGAACATCTACAAAACTTTCTGAGATATGTAGAAGTTCTTTTTCATATTTACACACTTTGTATCTACCGAAGTTTGACCCAACATCTCCTTATCATCCCGATACCCAAAATAGAAAGTAGCGATACACTGTATCGGCAGATTTAATAAAATACTTGCCACTCCTCCAGTTCTCGACCTCTCATTCACAGTTAACAAGAACCATATTGAATGAAATGTTCCTGAATAAATTTGATTTTTAAAACATGAACCAGATGTGGTTACAGCTGACCCCTGACCCCCACATGCCAATGTTTGACCTTTTGAACCTACCATCTGACCTGTTTAAGTATTGTCTGACATCATGCTGCACTGGCATGCTTTTACTATCACTTTGTTGTTAGTTTTTTTTTTCATATTTTAAGAATTTATCTTTGAATATATTTCACATAGAAAATATTCTTGTGTAACTTTGAACATTTAATCTTTTAGATACAATAAAACCAAATGTCATTGTTCTCTAATGGATACCTAGAGTATTGATAAATTATGCAAGAAAATGCATCATGATGCAAAATTTTTTTTGAGAATTCTTCAAATTTTACATTCAATACATGGCACCCAGACATAGGTATTTCCCTGTAAAGTCAGAATTTAGGACCATTTTGCAACAAATCTTTATTCAAAAAGTTTTCCATAAGACTTTCCAAAAGTTGTTTTATTGAAAATTCCAATTAAATAAATTGAATTAAAGTATTCAAATATTTACTTACTTCGACACATATTTTCTGGAGGTGGAATATTTGGGCGGTATTTCTGTTCTGGAATTATGGGATAGAATTCAGGGCTGTGATCGTAGTAACTATTGTGTTCCAATCGCTGGTAATCTGAGGAATCGTCAAAACTGTTGCCATTCACAATATTGTCACTATTGATGTCATTCAACGCCTGCATAGATTCGCTGATCTGACCGTAGGTACCTGAAATTATGGAGTTGGAAATGTATTTTTTTATCTAAAAATGAAACAAATTTTATTTTTTTTTAAAAGATTTATGAACTATTATGCAAATGAATGTAAATATTCATTCTCCCTGAGGCCCTATCATGGACCATTTACACGAAAATTATTCCAGAAAGATGATTAATGAATGTTATCATGGAGATGATAGCTCAGTCCTTACATTTATTTTCCAGGTATCCCTGGTTTGTAGAAGGTTGAGAGGTTGCAATCTTACTCTCACTTCGGTTATAACCTGAAGCAAAAAAATATCACATTAACCAAAATTCCTCAAAGATTTTGAAAGTTTAAACATAAATAAAATCTGAAATCTTCAAACAATTTTGACTTTTCTTGTTTGAATTGCCACTTGTTAATGTGAAATTGAATTCTTGAGAAATGTTTAATTACAACACAGACATCAGCATGCCAACGAAACGCCTACAGGTATGAGAGCATTGAAATAAATTTGCTACGAACCGTGAAAAAAATTAATCATACATATATACCATGTTATTTCTCCCACCAGGAAAAGTTGGCAAAAGTGTACAATTGTAGATGTCAGCATGCTTCATATCTACATAAAACATTTGGTATGTTCACTCATGCGTGCAGGAGACCTGTTTCTTTTTTTGTTACAAGTTTATGAAGGAGATTTACCTTGTTGCAGGAAGTGTTCACCAAAGTCGGGCATGCAAACAGGCTCACTATAATTGGGCGGGACATTGCACAGTGACGCCCTCTCTTGGGCAACCTCTGAAAAGGGGAACAACTCTGTTACAGTTTTTTTTTTCTAAAACTTTTTTTTATATCTATATTGGACTTTTTCATTGTTCAAAAAATTTGAGTGCATTTATATTTTGTTTTTTATTCTGTGAAAATACAAATAAAGACATGCCAGGCAAAACAATAAAACGGACATTGGGTTCACCCAAAAACCCTCACGATATCAATTCATGCTTAAACATTACAGGACAATTACAAATCAAAACAAGACCTTTGTTTTAATATATAACAAGGCTTATTTTCTATTATTAAAAACTATACCCAAACAACATGCAACGTCACAGATTTCTGTCACATTTTCACAATTTTCTTGGTTATTCCCTTTATTTGAATAAACCTCCTTCTTGCTTCAAGATGATGCTTTACACAGGATCTCTTTTGCAATAACGACCCTTATCTACATTTCAATTCCTTACAACAAGCCATGCCCATCATTCCGAAGTTCTTTTCAGTATTTCCGTAGTATTTCCATCCCAACAGCAAGCCACGCCCACCTTTCCCATGTTTTTGTAAGCATTCCCTTTTATTCCCATCCTAACAAAAAGCCACGCCCACCTTTCCCATGTTCTTGTAAGCATTCCCTAGTATTCCCATCCTAACAACAAGCCACGCCCACCTTTCCATGTTCTTGTAAGCATTCCCTAGTATTCCCATCCTAACAACAAGCCACGCCCACCTTTCCCATGTTCTTGTAAGCATTCCCTAGTATTCCCATCCTAACAAGCCACGCCCACCTTTCCCATATTACTGTAACCATTCCCTTGTACTCCCATCCTACAAAGCCACACCCACCTTTCTGAAGCTCCTGTAAATGTTCCCACAAGATGTCTCCCATGTAGGGTGGTGCAAGCTTGAGGAACTCGTCCTTGCCATTTTTTATCATCTGCTGACCGTTGATAGCAAAGTTACCCATGCTGATTCCCTGGACGTTGAATTCCTTGACTGCCCACTGAAGCCACTGCACCACTTGTATCTCACTCCACTGGAGGGGATCTGAAAACATCAAATAGGTCACATTAGCCTTGTTTTTAAGTTTCAATCACAATATCATGTTTATACATGTATTTACAACAGGAAAATTATGATCTCTCCTATATAAAATGTAATAATTTTCAACATAAGAATTTTGACGCAATATTTTCAATATTCAATATAAGAACACATATCTTTGACATCAGTGAAATATGATATTCTCTTCCCATCATTTCCTTTTATCTTTAACAGGAGGCGAAAAAAAAAACCTCTTAACCGGAGACTTCACATTGAGTTTACTGATCTGATAAAAGTTTAATGGGAATTTGCAGTAAGCGAAACAAACAAAACAATCATTCAGTTACCGGGCCGATGAAATTTCAGGTAAATCATACTTACAACGGTCAAACATTCTACTTTACTTATCCAACCAACACAGGTAAAATTTCTCGGTAAATGTACCTGATGAAGAGCTTGTTAGTAATGTTGCGTAGAAATCAATTTGAATTATAATCCAGAAAGGTAGTAGCACCTGTATTTTATACCTGTGCTGAATGAACACTTGCAAGTGTTTTAACTAATTACTCGTTAACGTAATTTAAATGTAATCTGATATCACAGGTAGCAAACGTCTATGATGTCGGTCCCTAAGGAAAATCAAACACACGAGCATCTGTGATTCTATGACGCTGATAACTTTGTCATGTGGAGCTGTACGACTAGCAAGCGGCCTTCACCATATTCTCTCAAACACTTATCCCTAATTGTCCCTTGTCACAAGGGAATTTACACAGCGACACAATAAAATGGCGTGTTAATTTTTAAAAACAAATCCGAGGACCTGTTTAGTGATAATTATTTTGGCCATTAAACCCCGTGATTTGCTAAACACGTTAGGCTATCATTGTCGATTAAGGATATTACATTCACATGATTTGTGTTCAATTTTAACCAAATTGGATGATGAACAGTGGGGCGAGGTGTTTAAAAACAATTATTTTGATTCAAAATCATAGCACTATACACAGAATTAAAGGTTACTACTGTAATGGAGAGGGTCATTTTAATATTGAAAGTGCCTGTATAGACAGCCAGTAAACCAATGTAGAGATGTGCCATTGGAAAATTACTCATTACTTAGAACAGCAGGCACCTGTCACAGTGGACCCTGGACCAATGGTCCAGCAACCACTGAGGTATGTATATGTAGAGACTTCACCAAATATCACACTTGGCAAGTGACAGATGGTCTAATTAGTCAATCTTTACTCAATTATATTTGTCATTGTTCACACTCGGTATCATACGATTTTCCCATCCCATCGACCCCAATTTTAAAAATGTTTGTCTAATTACTTTAAAATTAAGCAGAAAATTTTCCTGACAAATTCAAATAATTTCTTTTTCATTTTCATACCAATATTGTTTACATTTTTTTCCCTTTTTTTTTAATTCAATTTGCCATTTTATAAGAGATTTTGATTTGTTTAATTCAGTTTTATCTACTGTATCCATTCTGAAAAAATTCAAGATTTTGACTTTTTCAGTACTTTATCACGGCCATATAACGCTGATCTAATACTGTGGAAATTAATATGTATTAAAACATGTAATTGTTAAATTTACCAAGAAATATCAACTTACCTTTTGGAATATTGTATTTCTGCATGTCTATGTCAAAACTTTTGAAGCACTCAAGGAAGGCTTGGGACACTTTCTGGTTGGATCCTGGCGTAAGAGGTGGAACTTGAGGGGTTGTGGGAATGTCTGCAAAACACACAAAAAAAATCTACATTAGTACCTAAAAATAATAACACAGAAAATTTTCTTATAGAAATCAGAGGAAAGAAACTCTGTAACCTGTAGAGTGAATGTCAACAAAGCATGATATTGAAAACACAATCATGTGTATGGGCGGCGTCAATCTTTTACCTTAAATTTGAAAAATACATCTGCACCCATTAAAACACCTCATGTGATGGGAGTGAAAAGGTGTATACTTAAAACTCCTGGATGTATTTAACACGCATTAAAGAAGAATATACCATCATCACATACAGACACACATACTTAATCTGAACTCTTTTGTAAAGAGAGGCACAAAAAACATCCAGACACGATTTTAACTCTGTTTATCTATTCTGGTACAATGCTAATCGTTGCTTAATTAAGATAGGTTATCTTATCTTTAAATTGTATAATTTCAATTTACACATTAAAGCTACTGAAGACTATCTTAACATGGCACCTACGCCTGCCCTCTAATCCGCTGATGAGTCTGAAATCGGAGTCGTACCTATCATGATAGATGATTAGAGTTATCTTCCCAAATGGTTCCTGGCTGGCCCTTGTTCCCTTATAACAATGAATGTTCTCCCAAGATCAAGCAAGGTTAAAGCAACTGAAAACGACTGGAGAACTCTCGTGGAAATCTTAATCCACCCATCGCTAACCTTAGACTTGGTTATCCATGCATGTACATGGAAAAATTACAAATGAAAACGTTTCTTTTTCACTTGGCAATACTGAAGATGAATGTTTTGTATCGCGTATAAAGGAAATCTTTTGGTATGCAAAGGCTGTTTCTGTAAGTGCAATCAAACGTAATATCTTCACACATAAAAAACAAGAAGAACGCACAAATAAACAGCTCTGCTCTCTAACTATCCAATATCTGTTAGATTGTTATACGTCAGAATTTCTTTCTAGAAAACAAATGCTTCCATGTGCATTAACTAACAAAAAGGTGAATATGGGATAATCATTCTGTAAACGTTTCTCTGATCTGTAGACAAGGTATGTTATACAAAGTTACGACGTCATCACAAGCGGTGTCAGAGATGAAAAGTACATAAATCAAACAGGTTAGTATAAAACAACAATTGTACCGCGATAATCATTTCTCTGTTTTCACCTGAACCTTAGATTAAACACTGTGGTATTTGTCCGTGTTTCTGTAATGTTAACAAGACAAGCTGTGTGTTTAGTTCAGCTATCAGAGGGGAGCAAACCCGTTAAATAGCCTTTGAAGAGCAAATACAAGACAACACGTAATGTTTGTTGGACTGAAGACAGTGACCTCATTGCTGGTAACACAAATTACCTGTAGCAACAGGTAAAAGTCATCTTAATTACCAAATACATCTGCAAACAGAATGACACTACAGAAAGATTTAGACCTTAACTACCTGTCATGTTTGTTGAAACCTACATGCTTCGACCACAGTTAGGTTAATATCATGCACATTACCTATTTTATACAACATATTGTTCACCAAAGGACCAAAAAACGTATTTTAGACCAATACTGCCAAGCGTTTAACAATTCAATATCCCGTAAAGACCTCACGCGATAACATTTTTCATAATGTTATTAATGTGAAAGAGCGATTCAGGTAAAAAAGTCAATTACTATTACAAATTTATAAATTATCTATAAATAAGTAAACATATTAATATATGACATGGAAATATGTTACTTCAGGTAGATCTATCTATACAACAGATGTCTTCTAAATGATACATTAGAATCTATAAGTACTTGTGTATTACAGATAGCCGAGTTTTGCTTAATATCACGTAACCATATTTAATATGTGTATATTTATGCTTTGCTATAACCTCTGTCACCATTACAGGTAATATATAGTCAAGTTAGAGAGATTTCATTACCTATGCCAGGTAGGTATTTTTCAAACTTACAGGTAGGTTATATAATTCAGTACAAAGTTACATGTCCACATTACTTTCACTTGTCTGCATACGAGATGTAATCAGGTGTATGGATATTATGGCTGTGCTGTACACCCCAATATACTGTCTATGTCAGCTTTCAATTCTCTATATAATGGTAATATTGAATTACAGACACAGGTATACACCATCCCCATTTTTTTATGGAGAAAATGTAGGCAACTTCTTTTAACTTTAACTTCTTGTTTAGGAATAGGTGATAGCAAACCAATTCTTTGTACATTTGCTTAATTTCCCACCAGTTAAAGATGTTCCATTCAGAAAAATCTTAATTAGTCTCTCTCAAGGAGACTGTAAAAAAACTGTCAAGATTTCCTTAGCTTTATAAGGTAAAGTAGCAAATTGCTGGTGAAATATTAAAAGTACAAACAAAAATAAATTATTATTACAGGTGAAAAAGTACAGGTAACATCGATCAAATGGCACGTAGAATATTGAAAGTACAGGTGAAACATAGAGTAACCTATATCAAATTACAATCATACTTCAGAGTACATCTATACTATTTCTATGTTACTGCTTTCTGATCATCAGGAAATTATCATTTTACAAGAAACAGGAGAAAGGACTTGTTTTTATTTCTGTTTTATATCCACAAAAGCACATAAAGATATCTTCTTTAAGGCCCATAAATAATAAAAAATTCAAAAGATGTTTTCAAATTTCACATTCTATCTTATTTGATACACCAAAAAGAAAAAGATAAAAAAAAAACCTTTTAATTTTTTGTTTCATTTTTCTTAATTTGGTTTTCAAGTGAATGAATATGGCCACTTAGTTTTTTTATATATATATATAAAAACCAAGTTTTCTGGTGAGTGACGGTGGTCATTTAAAGCCTTTTACAAAAAGTGAAACGGAAACAAGCTTATTTATAAGTGAAGGGAAACACAAAAAATTTCCAGTTTCTTTTGCCTGTATTCAATCACATTTGTTACAGCTTACACCAGCAAGATCATTGTAAAATAAAAACTACAAAACACCCACACAAAACCGCAGTGTCTCCAGGATATATAGGACAGTAGGTGACAGGATGCAAAGACCGTGACATCGAAAATATAAACAAATCTGAGCTGGAACAACAAGCAGGATGTTCCATATTGTGTGAGTGGAGAAAACCTTTTAGTCTCGGAGGTACCTGAGCAAGCATCTAGCATTCATCAATATTCTTTCCAAAAACAAACAAAAAGTTTTAAATGCTGGAAGTTTCCAATTATTTCTTCTAAGAAATCTTATTTATTTCTCACGTCATAGTTTTATTACTATAAAGGTGACTAATTGGTAGGTAAAGGCTGACCGAGCAAGTGGTCACTTCCTTGACACACTTCTGACCACAAGTATACCTTTAACCTGGAGAAATTTATCTGTGGTCAAGCACATGGCAGTCCAAGGCTATAAATAAATGTTGTGATTCATTCTTTTATGGTCAGACGACTTGTTTTGGTCAGGAAACGCTGACAAAGGGCTGATAATGTTCGTAATAATGATGTAGCTTAGCTTAACATCAAGAACAGAACGACCAGAACAAATTATCATGTTCGCTTGTCACAGCCATATCTCTGATGAATGACAAAGAAGGATATTTTTATGAATGAAGTCATCTTTCTTTGCCCAGAGATACTCTGATGATAAAAAGTTCTTTGTGAATGTTGTCACATCAGTGTTTTATTTCTTTTTTTCGTCGATACTATTTTTTGTATATATTCGAGAAAACAAACACTTTAAATCTTTTTCTTTTGGTGTTCCACCTGATGACCGGATGACCATAATTACCTGTTCAGTCAGGTGTGAAATCAAAGGTAACACAATTTCACAGGTACCAACAGGTGGCTAGTAGAGACCAAAAGTTTTTAAACCAATATTTGAAAACTTGGGATGGTTAGGAAAACTAACTGACAATGTTACTGACAAAACACCAACTTTGATTATACAACGAGAGCAGGAAATATTCCGTAATTGACAAAATAAATGGTTAAACAATGTTAAAATCAGGATAAAATCTGACCTTATCTTCAAGTGATATTTTGTTATAACACCTGACAACTTCCTTCTTCAGACCCTCAGGTATGTTGATCAACTCTTTTTCACATAAATAAAACATTATTCAGTATAAGGTAAACCTGTTCTATCATTAAAAAGCAACTCCTATTTCAGATCTCCACCATCACTTGATCACCTCTAATGGTTCCCAAGTCTCAAGTACAGCCATTTGAACACAGATGAATACGATTTTTACGGACATTAGAAGATAGCATGGTGAGGAACTACATCCCACTGGCACCATAGACAATTTATTTCCATCTCTTTACTAAGCTGTGTGTATGAGATATCAAGGTCTGACACAACCAACCCACAGAGCAAAAGAAATTTAAGAATTACAAACTTCTGCCGAAGCCATCATGACTCGTTTTATGAAAAACAATGAGAAATACATCAACAAGTACTGAGAATATATAGCACATCAAACACTTTTAAACTTTATGTCTTTAAATCCTTATTAATTGAAATTGTACTTTCTATTAAGTATGGAATTCTTAGTCAATTTTTTACTAACAAATTGTGAATGGTTTATTTCTTGAATGCCACACATATTACAAATTTGTGATTTATTAAGTTATTTCTTGAAATCAGAATCATAGTGACCACGCACTATCATTCCCTGAATTGTAAACTCCCTGCTCCGTTACTCCAAGGCTAATCACTTCAGACCTAGATAAGTATGTTGTACATGTTTCCTTTCTACACTATGTCTCCGTGGCAACAAGTTACATAATTTCCTACATATTCCAGCTACTTAGCAAGGGAGATCACTAAAGGTAATGACTTCTATGCTAACACCCCTGTTATCTAAGTTAACCTAAGTCCATATCAATGAACAGGAAAGTCCATTCAGTTCACAGGGTAAGTTGTTTCATTGACAAATTATCCATTTCTTTTTATTATAGAAGACAGAAAATGAACAGATTTGAGATTCAAAGCTAATTTTGAAGATAATAAAGTTTAGAATTGTCATT